AGGAGATCGCCAGGAGCCGGAAGATCCTCAGCAGGAGTGCCTTGTAGACGGAGCCTTTTGTAGTTCTTTCTATTTCTGTGGTTCGATGTATCTTTGCACCTCTTCAGTATTCATTTGTTCAGATATGTATAAGGGCATGTTTGACCCGAATATTATGTCTTGGATGATATTCATTTGTGATATGTATTATTTTATTCTGAGTTTGTCTATTATATTCTTGCTGATTGTGATCGGGGACCTGTAACTTCGCATTTTACTTATTTCCAGACGCTTAGCGTATTAGGTTGAGGAGAAATAAATGTTTTTATTTACTCTCCTTGATTTAATACGTCGCGGGATTGTTCACGTTCCGATTCCCGGGTATTTTGGGAAGTGGGGCGTGACACCCTCCCCCAAGCTACCCACCCCTCCCAATCCACCCTCTAATCCCACACGCACCCTAACTCCAACATCAAGCGTCAACCCCTCCTCAGCCTCAGCCTCAGCCTCAGCCTCCCCCCCCTCCCTCCCTCAAACCTACCCATCCCCAAACAAACATGAGCCAGCCCCCGTACATATGGGTTTTTTTCAATACACACCCTCAAGAATTCCTCCTCCCTCTCCAATCCCTCACCTCCTCCTCCTCCCTCTCTCCCTCCTCTATGACAAACAACCTCCCAGTACAAATCTCTCGTTGTCTTCTAATCCCCAACATCAAGAACCTTGGTGCAATTGTTGAACACCGGTGATATCGCCATCTCGATACCCTCGTCTCTGTCACTCTCACGAGTAACATCGTCGTCACCGCCGCCTCTGCTCCTGGCATGCATCTCCTCCTCCCTCAATATAATCATGTACAACGCTCCCATCCTTGATATCGAGTTCAGCCACAGCCTAGGCTTCCCGTCCCCGGGCCAGATCGCGGACAGCGGGTTGTCACCTGATGAATCATGACAAGAAGACTTCACGGGACTTCAAGTCATGTGAAGTTGGGTGTAACAAAAAATTTCACAGGACTTCAAAATCCCGTGAACTTATACCTCCCCCTAATCAAGTTTGTTAACGGGGGCTTAAACTTCACGGGACTTGAAGTCTCGTGAAGTTTTCTAATGTTTCTCGCCAAACTCGATCCAGTTTTAGCCAATTGGCTGAAATTAGATCGATTTTGGCAAATAATTTAGATATAGGTCGAAATTTGCAATTAAGTTTATAAATGAGTTGGTTTTGAAAAGTTGTCCAAAAAAATAATATTAAAAATAATTACTATTAGTCGCTTAAAAATAAATAAATCTTAATATAATTAATAAACGACGAAAAAATATCAAATTAAGAAAATTTCTTGAATTTTAGCTTTAATTTTATGGTTGTGAAATAATATAGGGAAGTTTTTTCCTTTAGTTTTATTACAATTCGATAAAAATAATAATAAATAAAGTTTTGTGATTAATTAAATTATTTGAATTAAATAATTTTTAGGTCAAGATGTTAAATAAAAATCGTAGGGTGTTAACCAAGTTCTAACTTGTTTGAGTTGGCTATCACTAAGTGAGTTTAGAGAAAGTTTAGTTCTTCGCAGATCTTAATTGGCTTAAAGGTCCAAATGTCCAATGATAGTGACGGAGTCAGGATTTTTGATAAGCGGGTTTAAAAATAAATAATTAAATATGCTCACATATAACTTTTTTATCGTGATTATTAGTATCTAAACTTTGTTATATGAAAAGACTTTCAAAATCAAAGTATCTTTTTGCCTTCAATTTTAAAAACCATTTTATTAATTTAGATAGGATATTTGATTGGAGTGGGATATCTAGATTTTTTAGAATAGGCTATTTTGGATTTGAATCGTGGTAGGATTAGATCACGATTTGGTTTTTTAAGTTCTTTTTAATTGCTAATTTCTACTATAGATTTTAAGGACAAATTTCAAAATAATTCAAGACTTAGGGGACTAATAATAGCAATTTCAATCATTTGAGACGCTTCAAAGTAACTCAAGGAATTAGGGGCCTAATAACATTGATTTGAGGAACTAATCTATCTATTACCCTTTAAAAGAGCGAGTTACTGGAAAAATTTTCCCTCCCCAAATTAACCTTCAACCGAAAGCAAGACTGATAACGCATATATAATGTTTGGACGCTTACATCACAGTGAAAGCAACTGCCTAAATACAGGGGAAAAATGCATTGTTGGTAGATGACGGCTGTTCGCCTTCTTAACTTGTAATTCTTTTACATTCTTATAAGTTTCTCTCGAACGTCCAAATGTGTTCCATTTAATTTATATCTAATCGGTATTGTGTTCTGCAACGATACTTAACTTATGATAATTTAATGTGAGCCCTTAACCATTTTAAAATTTTGCATTGGCCAACCAATCAATAAATAAATATATTTTAATTGTTCAAATGATGAATACTTATATTATGTCTATATGTTTTATCCATTACTTACATTCCATAATTTTATAACAAAACATTAAAAAATAAAATTAAAAATTTTAAACAAAAAATGAAAACTTTACCACGTGCATTGCACGTGCAATCCAACTAGTTTTTAAAAATATGAAAGATTAAAGGAACTAATTAAAATAACCAAAAATAAAAAACATCGAACTTTAAAAAGGCCCATGACTTGTCGGTGTTCTTTTCCATTGACAAAACACCAAACACCATTGCACAAAAATATTAAACATCATTGCACTCAAAACATCAAATAACTGGATCTATTTGTCATTAATTTGAGAAACTTGCTCTATTTGTCATAATAAAAACTAATCAAGCAATTAAAAACATACACGGACATATTTGGTAGCTAATTTCAATTTAAGGCCAAGCCAAAGATTTCTTTTCTTACAAATAAAACGTCTCCTCCTCCCTCAACTTAGCAAATTTGACAGCCTGCTCCATTTATCATCAAAATCAGAAGAATCTCTTCCAATTATAAAACGTATCCAACAATCAAGAAAATTTCCGAATTATGAAAATAATATCTCGTCGCCGTCCTGTCCATGATGCTATACCCCCGAGTAAACGTAGGACTAGGAATCCAATTTATTCCCATGATAACTTTGCCCTCTGTTTCTCTATAAATATTACACCCCATGAAAATTAAAATATAGCAAAATATTCATCTAAGAGAGAGGGGGAAAAGAATGACTTGGGGTTGGTCGAGTCGCAAGAAGAAGGATGAAGGCGAGGATTGCGAGAAGCACCCCGCGAAAAAGATGGCTTCAGGGCTCTGCATCTATTGCCTCGACGAGAAGCTCATTGAAGCTAAAGAGAGACAGAGGAGGGAGCAAATGGCTCGCGATGAACAGAGAACCGAAGGAAATTAAGTTCTTCCGGCTGAGGGAGATGCGTCGAAATTGAAAGGAACAACCCAAAATTATGTTGTGGTCCTCTACGTTTCGTTTTGTTTTGAACGAGCCCTTCCAATGTTTCTATTAAAATTAATGTTTTTTTTTCTCCTTCCTCTGTTCATCGTCGTCAGGTTCATCTACGTTGTGTGTCGTATGCTTTGTTTTGTTTGAAGGTCCTATTCCTTTTTATTGTAGAATTATTATTGATAAAAGATGCCTTTATACAAGGATTAAATTTACAAATGAGGGTGCTAGTAAAAAAGTAAATGTATTGTTACGTTGTGAGGAAAATTCAACAAACTGAGCGAACTATGAACAATGATAACATATGACGTTGTCGACCGCTTTGTTTGAAAAGGGCCATTTATTTCTATTTTTTCAGAGTATCAAGAATGGGACCAATTGCAGAATCTCACTCTCTATTCTGATTTGAGGTTAATTCCTTACCCTTCGCGGCGGTCCACGTATTAACGCAATTTTCATCTCTAGGATTTAAAAAAATATGAAAATATTGATGCATTTAAAAACTTTGATAAATTACAGTTAAGAGGTCTGATTTATTGACTTCGTTTTGCCGCTAGAAATGTTTGGTAAATTTTCAATACTGTTCCATTTAGGCTTCATAAATTTCTTTCTACGGCGTACGTACGCCATATACACATAAGCAACATAAGAAAAAATTTGTAAAATAGACCTATTTTGCTAAATATTTAGCAAAACAAACCGTTTTGCTAAATATTTAGCAAAATAGACATCTTTTTAGCCAAAAAGATGTCGATTTTGCTAAACAGACCATTCGGTATGATTTAATGAGGATTAAATCATACGAGACTACTAACCCTGTATGTTTCGAATGATCTGTTTTGTAAAATCGACCTCAGTTCTATTTTGCTAAATATTTAGCAAAACGGTCTGTTTTGTTAAATATTTAACAAAATAGGTCTATTTGCAAATTTCTTCGCAACATAAAGTCCAAAGTTTAATATAGAAAAAAATATTGCAGAAAACCGTTTTCTTTTCAATGGGAAATATTAATGTTATGATTTATACTTGCATTCGGCTAATCCTAATTTGACTTGGGCTGAGGTTTGACTCCGGCTACAAATGTTCCTCGCTTTTGCGAGAGACAATAGAAAGAAAGAAAACAGATTGAGGGGATCGATGAAGAAGAACGAAGAGAGGTGCGAGAACCACCAAGAGCACGAGTTGGCTCTAGGAGTTTGCCCACGTTGCCTCGGGGAGAAACTCGCCCTCTTATATGCTTTGCAGACGGACGTTGAATATAAAGATGAAGAAGAAGAAGTCGAGGAGGTAACAAGCACAGGAAAGAAGCAGTTGTGTTGGAGCAATTTGTTTTGTTGCTTCGGGGGAAAGCAGCGGAGGAAACGAGGAACAAAAGCAGACATCGGAAGGGGGAGAAGAATAATCAAATCTTTTTTCTTTCTATGACTTGTTACATTTATTTTTCTTTAAATGGATTTTTTTTTTTTACTCTTTTTTCCTGAATAGAGAGATCAAGTTACTTTAAAAAAAAGAGCATTGATATAGCTTGATGATTAATATATATATTTAACAACAGAAAATCTCAAACAGGATGAATATATCAATCACAACCATCAGGACATAGAGAAAAATCCTGACATCCTACGTAGCCATCATGCCAATCTTCACTTTGCGAATATAAACTCAAAATATATCTGCAATGTACGTTTACATATCTATCAGTACCCAGGGTATCTACAGAAAATATGTTGCTCGAGTCTGTACATGTATCGAACAATATTATCTAGCTGCCTTCGGAAGAATATCATTATCCCGATCATCAAAATCCAACCCAACTGCAGGACTCCTTGTTGGCTTTTGTTTCAGTTTCTCAAAGATATCATCAAGTAGCTCAGAAGAGGAGGCAGTACGAGGCAAAGTTTCTTGATCTTTAGGCAGCGGAACAAACCTCTTCTGCTCGATTTTGATCTTGAACTTCTGGAAGCCATTCTTCATTGATACCCAAGCATCAGATACCCCTCGCATTGATGGACCTGCACCTGAGTTTCTGGACTGCATCTGTGCATTTACTTCATCGAGTAATAAGAGTGAATCATGAGATTTTGACTTCTCTTTAGATTCTAGTCTTGGTGGTTTATTTGTAACGGTTTCTTGTTCTTTTGGGGCCACTGGTTGACTCCCTTTGCGAACTTCCTTGGATGGAATATCAGCTGCAACTTTTTGCTTATCCTCTTCCTGAATGAATTGTATCACATAAGAGTTTGACCACCCATAAGAGTAAAATGCAAGTTCCACATGAGAAACAAAATTACTTCTTGGACTACATTGTGTCCTGAGTCCTGACGCAATTCTTTATAGCAAAACCTGAAGACTGAATATATTTTCTAGGATTACTCCTAGTTTTCATGAAGCTCCTTGGCTTGATTTCAAACTTGTGTAAGTTTATACCAGCTCACAAAGAGTTGAACCGTCCCTTCAAGATTTAGACTTTGTTCCACAGTCACCCATTTGATGTGTAAGGTACAAAAACAGGGTGGTGAACTTAATTTGGTTGGAATATGACCTCACCCAATTCATTTCGGCCCTCAATGTGTATGTTTTTCAATCTTTTTACTATCAAATAAATTGGCAAACTAATTATATTCCTTCCTTTTGTCAGAATGTTTTTCTAAGGATTCTGATCAATCTTTAAATGCAAATATTAAGGTAGTAAATCCCTACGGAAGCAAACAGTTGATTCAACTGTCCAAAAGATATAAACAAGCTAAATCGAAGATATCATTACATATTCAACATAATTATACTGAACTGAAATGGGAACTAACTCGATGAACACAAATTCTATATTTAAATGTACCAAGGTGATTAACATACCGGTAGTTCACTGGCAGACTCAACATCCTCATTCGTACTGTAGAAGATCCTTGCCAATGGTATGATTAGCTCACCAACTTTATGTCCCTGTTCAAGCCAAGACCTCTCTGGCGACAGAATAAAAACCTATTACCTCCTGAGTTCTTATCAGTCTATGTACCATGAAAATAGGTACCTTGCAACTCTCACTGAATGGGCACTTGCCTTTCTGCAGGATAATTACACCTGATGGATCATAACCGTCCATATCCTCCTCCTCATTTTGGAACTTGATCTTTATCCATCTACCGAAATAATCAATTACGTGGTCAAAGAAATTACATGCAACCAGTAAGGTGTAGATAACCATGATAAGTGGATAGATTTTGTTGAATCCTTTTCCAAAGAAAGGGACAGCATCGTCAATATTTCCCATTCTCTGCATAACAGTATCCAAAGGCGAGATGATTTGATTATGACAAGTAACAAGTTATTAAAAGCTAAGATATATCCTTTCTGGTATATATGTTAGTATTCCTTCGACTTACATGTCAGTCGGAATCTTGTAATGAAGGAAAGGTAATTTTGAAGGTCTAGCTTGTAGCATGACCAATACATGGGAAGAAGTTTATTCAGTATTGATTGGCTGTGCTATTCCGTTTATTGGACATGATAATTCTGAAAATCTAATTACTTCGAATAAAATGTGCATACGAAAGCAATTCAGATATATCACTTTACTTTAATTTCAATCTTTCCCTCAAAAAGTATGCCCAGTTGAGTAACCTCAATGCTAACCTTTTCAAGATGCAACTAGAGTCTCAATAATGATTGTACTGTCAGTAGGTTGATTTTTCCTGGTACAAGATTTTTTTTTTAGTTAGAAGATCAGGCATAATTCTTAGTAGGACTATGAGAATTGTCTCTTTATATGGGAAAAACTGTATGTTTACTGCTACAATCAATCACGAAGCATGACATTCTTGCAATCCTTCAAATCAATAGTCTGTTTACTTCATTAAGATGATGCACACACAGTTAGGAGCACCATATTAGTAGGGGTAAACTTCTAAACAGGTATTCATATTAAAATGAGTAGTTACCTTTTCAAAAACAGTTTTGGTGCCTCGAAGACGTATGAGGTTAAGAAAGTTATAAGAAATTGGAGGTGCATATCTCGCGACCATTCTGGAAAAGATATTTAATTTTTGCCATAATGGTGAGATTCTGTATAATTCATAAAGGATATAGTATGAAATAACTTCGGTGAAGAAACTTACGAACAAATCATAAGCAAGCGGACTGAGTTTGTCTGTCGTGGTGTTAATGAATAGAACATCAGCATCCCAATCTTGAACAAGGAATAGTATGTGCAGATGCACATGTACATCAGAGGAACAAATGCTGCTATCTGCAAAACATGCCACAATCATTGAGAGAGAAAAAAACGTAAGCAAGATTTCTAAACTTATTAGTTGATATGGGTAAAGCTGGAGCTCAGGCAGATATATGATGCATTTTCTAATAGTAGATACTGTAAATTTTTTGGAGTCGATGAAGTTGATAAAGTTGAGGAAGCATGAAATGTAATTTCAGAATGAACAACACTATCTGATCCTACAAGGATATGGCGGATGCTTACTTTTGTCAAATTAGATTTTGGTGAAAGCATAGACATCAACTTAAATCAGGCCAACAAATCTAGGATGACAACGAGACATTATGAGAAGACTGAAGCCTTTTCATTTGCAAAAGAATATACACACTTGATGAACTGTAAGCTTAAGTGTCACATCCATCCTTCCAATCCTTAAATCATTCTATGAAATAATAAAATGTAAATCAGTGTACATGTTGTCTAAGCTCAATAGTAGGATAGAACAGGATATTCTATGAAATAATAAAATGTAAATCAGTGTACATGTTGTCTAAGCTCAATAGTAGGATAGAACAGGATAAAACTTCCATAATGTGTCAAACAGATGCTGTACATGTTGTCTAAGCTCAATAGTAGGATAGAACAGGATAAAACTTCCATAATGTGTCAAACAGATGCTGAACAATATGTGCTACATATAACAAAAAGAATGTGTTAATACAATGTAAGTATCTAAAAGACACAACATTTATCGCCTCACAAATTGGAGTAGGCAGAACAAAGTTCCACTAACCTATAGGGAATGATAAAATACTTACCTGTCATAACTAAAATTTGGAACCTACAGAATAGAAGCCTAGAATGCCTGATAAGGTGGATTTTTGAGCAATTTACACACAGCAGGTACAGTCATAATCCGATGACACACTAACTAATAACAAGAGTTTATCCAAGATTGCAAGTAAGAAAAATAATCTGGCATACATGGGACTATCTGATGGAAAATTTTCATCCCTAACCACCATTAGTCATGATATAAACATGGAAAGTTTTATAACATATGCACAAAAAGAAATTATGCTTCCGAAAATTTACCTGTCCCACCATCTCCTGTTTACCCACTGCGTTTATAAGAATGGAGAAAAAAGATAGATCAACTCCACTTGGCAAAATTGTAGCCTCGGCCAAGAGAATAGCAGCTGACATGCAACCAAGCACTACAGCTAAGAGTTTCTCCAGTTGCTTCCTTAGTATGCAACGCCAAACCAGCTCTGAAAGATCCAACAGTCTCGATTTCAAAATCAGCAAAGTAGATTACATCTTTGGAAATCAGTGTATTTACCATCTACTTGAGACTAGAGATGGTATTTAAGGATACTCAAAACTAAAAGCTACTATTCTTTAAGTATGAATTGCATCCCACCTAAGGAAGTAGGAATTGCAGCCGAACGAAAGAGCGCAGTCTATAATTTTCTTCATTTAATGGTGAAATACAGATTGAACCAGTACATATTGTCTCAAGAAAATAACTGTTAAAGACAGAAGTAGCTAGTTTATGCATTACTCAGAAATGAAGCCTGTTCTATGAGTAACCATCATAGCAAACCTCGAGTGGTTTATATTTTCCTGTCTAAAGGTGAGATATAACTTGGACTGGGTACCTATTGTATCAAGAAAGGACCCAAACTTGCCAGCATGTCTTCCTCTTAAACTTGAAACGTATCTCCTGCAATGATAGCAACATTTAAACATAATGCCAGATAAATCATCATAACAGACATGCACACATTGCTCACAAACTTGTGATATCCAACAAGATGAAATTGTTTCTCTCATTGGGTGGGATAGAAGGTAACATTATAAGATTCATGCTGCTTCATTCTAATCAATATGACCTCTTCAGATATTCATTTAGGTTTCAAGAGTTGGGATGCCTGAACTATTGGTTCTAGCAGATAGTTTATTTGGAAATTGTGATTGACTCTGTGTATAGCCATGTCAAAGTTTCATCTCAGATCTGATCATAGCTAACTAAGAGAGGGACGTAACAAAGAGGACATACAGAAGAAAACATTAGTGCGACATGATTAGGGGGAAAAAGATAATTAGAGAAAAAAATTGTTCTTGTATCATAATATTATTATATCCTCTAACTCACTGTGTTAAGAAAGGTGCACAGGCATCATAACTAGAAGACATCATACCATTCAGTAGCGTTGCGAAGTTCATAATTCTTCACTGTATCTTCCAGCTCAAGGGCCTCCATGACAGAGGCAACGTATTCACTACAAGAGGTTGAGATAAACCAGTCAGGATCAATTTGAATGGATACAAAAAGCTTACGATATTGTTTTAAGCACATCAAGCACATGGAAGAGAAAATTCAGATTCTCTCTAGTCTCAAGTGTAGAAATATGCAGTAGTCCTTCCAAATCTGCACCTAGTATATACTTTAATGACCCACGCGTATTTGAAGTGCACCATAAAATTGTACCTCCTGTATCTGTAATACTCCTCTTGAGCTTTTCTAAGCCGCCGCCTAAGTGCAGCCATCGTTTTGTCATCGGTATCATAATCCATATCATTCTCTCCAAACATACCGCCAGATGGCTTAAAAGAAGGATCTTCCCGTATCTGAAGAATGTAAACATATCAATTAATATTTTTATGAGTTACAACTTAATAAAATTTGAAAATGACATTAAAATACCATTTGAAGCAGCATCCTGTCAATGACATCCATGTATTGTCTTAAAAAGTCACGCTTGGATATTTGCTTTGATGTTGCTTGTGCAATCTGACAATATGACTGTTGTCAAACACATGAGCATATCTAAATATCGCTGATAATTTTTTTATAAAGAGCTGGAAGAAATCACAAGTACTGTCTCCCACAGCCGCTGGGTGGACTAGGATAGCCCGCAAATATTTCAAATAAGTAGATAGATCATAGGGTTATACATTTACCATAACTAATTAGATATGACCGACTTCATATTGAATACGATAGAAACATAAAAAGAAAAGCAATACGAGAAACATTTAAATAATTAGATAGAGTTATACAATTACCACAATCACATTTGAAAATTCCTGATGAGCATCATCAAGGTTCACAGCCATTTTTGCAACCCTATGGGAGAGAACTTTTTGGCGGTTACTCCAATCTGCATTCCTCCAGATGCTCTTTGGTATTTCACTCAGACCAAAGCCAAGAAGAAATGCACCAGTTACAAGCCCAAAGGTATTTGAACAGGCCATGGCAAAGCCCACAATACCACCGCTCCTATCAATAAGACAGTTTTAAGAAATTAACATTGGATAACATGGTCTTAAATGTCATCCTTAGCAAATGTTTAGAAAACTATAATAAATTCTCAAAGTTAACAAAGAAATTTCTAATAAATTAAAATTTCTTTAAATGTTCTCTTAAAACACAGCAAACATTTAGTGAGATTTTATTTTATTTTTTAATTTTTTACTCTTGTAAATTATCTTAGCACTTTATAATCCACGTTGCAGTATCTGAAAAATCATGACTAATTATTGACTACTTCTATGATGGTCTAAATGCAAGTTTACTAGTTCAAATCAGAGGATGCCACAAAGTTCAGATCCTGTTAGTGTCTTTTGTCGCTGTCTAACCGTTAATATATTAAGAAATATAACAGAAGAAATGGGTAATAGTCCCATCTAAATGTTTCAAATGACAGAAATATGATAACAATAAAGTACAAGAAAACTGGGTAAAAGTTGCTCAAGTCACCAGGATTCACCATTGTCAACTATGGGAGCATTTATCTTAGAAAATTGATTGGAAAAGAAATTATAGCAGCACCTAATCAAGCATTCCTACAATTAAAAATAACATGTGTAAACTATAACACAGAAGATACTTGCTGAGGCTGGAAAAGGCATAGAGAATCACATCTATGTTCAAGGCAACAAAGCTAATTGCGCTGATGCTTTGAGTTAGAAGAATTATCACATGCCAGAGGATTCCAGCAGGGAATGTGTGTTATGTACATAAATTGTTTATTACGAATAAAGTAAACACTAGTAGGAAATACATATTGAGGAATGAAATTTGGGAATCAGAGACAAAAACATCAGCAAATATTTCGCCTTTTGCCAGAGAGGTACAAATATTGCAGGAATAAATAGATAAACTAGGTTGTCCATAAACTAAGTACAACAAAGTGCCCACACAAACCCACACCAATATATATACCTAATTATACTTATATAGTCACTTGTTGTATCCATGCCATACTCATATGCCATAGAATTCCAAATCTGTCATAACGCTGTGTTCAGACAGTGTCACACTTGCATCCCACGTAAGTAAATAGATTATAGATTAGTAAAACTTGCCTAAACCATGTGTTAGTAATGTCTTTTTCTCCTTTGCTTCCCATTTAGGTGTTATGCACAGGTGCGGATTTTGTAGATTGAAAGGACACTGTTGCATCCATGCCATACTCGTATGCCATAGAATTTCAAAACCTGCCGTAACGCTGTGTTCAGACAGTGTCACACTTGCATCCCACGTATGTAAATAGATTATAGATTAGTAAAACTTGCCTAAACCATGTGCTAGTAATGTATTTTTCTCCTTTGCTTCCCAATTAGGTGTTATGCACAAGTGTGGATTTGTAGATTGTTAAAAGACCCTACCACTACACCAAAACTCTGCAAGTTGTGGTGAGAGTTGAGGGTTATATTTTTGTATTCTAACGTGCCCACATAGGTTGTAGCCCCTTTTATAGGCAAAAATTTAGATCCACGCAGAGGTGTCGATTTTTAGAAAATCCGCTTTAACTTTGTGGCATATAGGGTTTGGACCTGGGTTGTTCTGATACCATGTTATGCTAAAGGACCGGCCACCACACAAAACTCCAAAGTTGTGGTGAAGGTTAAGGGTTATACTTTTATATTCTAACATAGAGTAAACAATAGCATGATGTAAAATGAGGAAGAGAACATGGGAACCAAATTAAAAGGGCAAGGACAAGTTTGACTCATAAAATCATTAGCACTGAAACTCATTTTCCTAATCTCATGTTTTGTCCATGCTCCAACTCCAGGCTCCAGCATTGAAAATTGTGGATCTTATTTAGAAAACTTGCAGTACACTTATAGTCACTATATGGGAAGCTTCTGCCCTAATTTCTGATTGTCCAAAAATGATATCCTAAGACTTCCATAAGACATGAATAACACTGTTGTAGGCCAATTTGCACTGATCCTTCCACCATCTTGATTGGCCTGGACATTGTAAAAGTAGCATTAGCAGACATTTGTAATGAAGGCATAAGGGCATTGTGTAAATTGCAATAAGGAAGATCAGATCATTAACTTGGAAAAAGTGAAGAGAGCAACTTGATTAGAAGGTTGAAACTTCCTTTCATATATTTTTTGGTGTACGCATTTGTTCCAAAGTGCATAAGCTTTCATGACAAGAGGAATGTTTTAGAACACAGTAAATTTGGTGTACGCATTTGTTCCAAAGTGCATAAGCTTTCATGACAAGAGGAATGTTTTAGAACACAGTAAATGCTAAGAGAAACATTATAAGTGAGTGCATAAGCTTTCATGACAAGAGGAATGTTTTAGAACACAGTAAATGCTAAGAGAAACATTATAAGTGATTGCAGGTTTTCAGGATATATTTGGTTTCGAAGAAACTTAGAGCAGGAAAACATGTTTCTTTGCGAGAAAATTCTAGGTACATTTCTTTACTAAATCATTGAAAACCCTCCCACAATGACAAATGCTGGATTCTTTTTTCCGTTCTTTTTCAGGCCCACATCTTTTCTCACCTTCTATGCTGCCAACCACAAATATCTTAGTAGTGAATGCAACGAAGAAAGACAAACATCTTTTCTCACCTTCTATGCTGCCAACCACAAATATCTTAGTAGTGAATGCAACGAAGAAAGACAATAAGGCACAACATCTAAATTCCTAACTCATGATACATTAGCAGTTTCGCGTGAATTAAAAGGAAAAGTAACAAAAAGGACGTTTTTGTGAAGAGATAAGAGACAGACCAGTTTCCATGCATAATGACAAGCAGAATAAGCCCAAGAAGGCCAATCGAACCCACACACGTGTAAAAGAATAAGTTATATCGCATGCTAGTTTTTAGTCTTTCAGTCATCGTGAAATCTCCAGCATCTTCATAACCCTGAATAGTGGGAACCACAGCCCTGAGTGATAAGCATAACTTCAATATGAGGATATATGCATTAATGAGTATCAAATAAAATATACATTTTTTTTGAGAAAAAGGATGGATTACCACAAAGGTAATCCAGCCAGCTAAATTAATCAAAAGTGGTTGTTACATAGAAATACACACCCCCAACCAATAGTGAGTATTATAGTCCATAACAGAAACTACATACAAAGAAAAAAACGCACCACCCCTCTGTACATACTCAACAGAGGGAAGATCAAAAAAAGATCTAACAAAGACCAAAAGAAGAGCAGTTCACATTGTAACAGAGTTTTTAAGTTTAGAAAACAAAAAACATCACAACTGCACCTTTTGTATCACATTCTAACTGAATCACCATACTCTCCACATCTCTGTCTTCACTTCTAACCGCTCCAGCAGCATGGAATCTATCAGCATTCCTCTTTCTCCGCCTCTCCTGTAGTCTAGCAGCTCGAGCAGAAGCTTTTTCAGAACCTAGCCAAAATGTTGCGAAGGTCATAATTTTGTTCAAAAGCTCAAGGGACTTCTTCCTTTTATTTGAAAAGATTCTATCATTACGTTCCTGCCATATGCACCAAACCAAAGAACAAATGATCACATCCCTTTTCAATTTACAGTTCTCAACATCACTAGTTTTCCAATTAAGCCTAATTTCTTTCAAAGAATCTAAACTAAAATTTTCCTCAGTCTCCAATTTGAATTGAATTGATCTCCATACTGAGTAAACAAACTCACATTTGATGAAAAGATGTGTATGATTCTCCTCCAATTTAGAACATAAACAGCAAGTTTTATCCAAAAAGACTCCTTTCTTTTCTAGAACATCTTTTGCATTTAAGCTTTGTCTAAGAGCCAACCAAACTAGAACTTTCACTTTTAAAGGGATGAGAAGCTGCCATAAATTTGCACAATCATATCTTACACCCCCATCAATTAAAACTTGATAGAAAGGTTTCACTGTGAAACTCCCTTTTGTCTCCCAAAGCTATTTCCTTTTATCCTCCTTTTGCTCTAAACAGATGGAGTTTATTAATCTCATCATAGAACAATATTGGGGAATAAGAACCCCAACTAACTGCTTCTTAAACTGAATATTCCATCTCCACATATTATTCTCTTTTTTTAACATGCTATTAATAGCAGCAAAAGGATACAAAGTTATAGCAAATAAGGATGGAAATAAAGATGACAGAGTAAATGAGTCTAACCATTTGTCCAGCCAAAATAAAGTATGATTTTCATTTCCAACTTCCACCTGAGAGCAACCATTTGTCCAGCCAAAATAAAGTATGATTTTCATTTCCAACTTCCACCTGAGAGCTGCAAACAAAACTTTCAATATTAGCACTAAAATTCCTCCAAAAGTATGATAGAAGAGTTCTCCCAGAATGAATGTATTCTGTCCAGCTTCTCTTTTCAAAATATTTGTAAAACCTAATTTGTTTCCAAATGCCAGGCTTTCCATCAAACCATTTCCAAAACCATTTTCCTAAAAGAGCTTTATTCATGATTCTCAAATTTATTATACCTAAACCATCACAATGTCTAGGTCTACATATCTCCTCCCATTTCACCAAATTAGTGCATTTTTTGTTGTCCAAGTACCCAATCCATAAAAATTTTCTCCTCATTTTATCAATTTTATCAATAATCCATGAAGAAAAAAGAAAAAAAGATAGCCAAAAAATTGGCATAGAAGATAGAACTGAGTTAACTAAAACTAGTCTACCCCCTCTAGATAGAGATCTGCCTTTCCACAAAGATAATCTCCTTTCAATCTTCTCAATCAAAGGGAACCAGTCATTTTTTTCAACTTACCAGGCCTTAAAGGCACTCCAAGATAGGTAATAGGAAAATTTTTACTTTTACAATTCAACATAATAGCCAAATTATGTTGTAAAGATTCATTATTCTCAAGAGTAATAAGAACACTCTTATTGAAATTAATCTTTAAACCAGATGCCAACTCAAAGCAATACAAAATCAGTTTCAACACTATTAATTGTTCTCTTTTATTTTTGCAAAAGATCAATGTATCATCTGCATACTGTAAACAAACAATTTTATGACTCATGTTAACAGGGCCTAAGCCTTCAATAAGATAAGAGTTAATTGCTAATGACAACATTCTGGTAAAAGAATCAGCCGCCAACACAAAAAGAAGTGATGACAAAGGGTCTCCTTGACGAACACATCTTTTAGACATAATCCAACTTCCAGGTTTACCATTGATATTAATGGCAGACATGCCTCCTTTTAAGCACATATTCACCCAATTAATCCATTTCTCACCAAAGTTTTTAGCCTTTAAGACCTCCAAAATAAAGTCCCAGTCTAACATATCATAGGCTTTTGAAAAGTCTAATTTTAAAAGAATTCCTCCTTTTTTATTGTTTTGAAAACAATCATGAATAATCTCTTGAGCTGCAGCTACACCATCAAGTAGAAATCTGTTCTTAATAAAACCAGATTGAACTGAATCAATAAGTCACTCAAGCTTAGGATTTAATCTGTTTGTCAAAACTTTGGTAATAATTTTGTAAATCACATTAAGAAGGCTGATAGGTCTGAAATCATTAACAGTAATAGCCTCATTTTTCTTTGGAATAAGAACAATATGTGCATAATTAATTTTGTTGATCTCCAATTTGCCTTCATAAAATTCCTCAAAAAGTCTCATAATATCCATTTTCACAGTCTCCCAAAAGACTTGGAAAAACAAAGCAGGAAAACCATCAGGATCAGGGGATTTATCACCATTCATATCAAAAATGGCTTTATGAATTTCTTCTTCAGGAAAAGGAATTTCAATATCACTAGGACCCCAATCAATAAAAGGGAATAAACCATTCCAATCTAGCTGACATCTATGAGGCACATTTTGACCAAATATCTGATTGTAATGTTCTGAAAAAATCTGAGCTATACCAAACTCAGAACTTACTTCAACATCATTATGTGTGATGGAAGAAATCAAATTATTCCTTTTCCTACCATTGGCAATTTTATGAAAAAATACAGTATTATTATCTCCTTTAAGCCAATGAGTTTTTGATCTTTGTTTCCACATTTGCTCCTCTTGAAGAAGGATCTCATTTAATTGAATGATAATATCATTTTTTTTAATTACTTCATCATCCTCTAAATCTCTATTCTCCTCTATAACTTCCCATTCTAACAAGCTGTCCAACAGATCTTTCTTTTTTTGTTTAACACTATAAAAATTTGAATGTACCCATTGCTTGATACATTTTCTCATAAATCTTAGTTTACCAACAATGTTTTTAGCAGCAGATTCACTCTTAGGAGCACAGTTCCACCATATAGGTACACTTTTCATAAAATCATCAGACTGTAACCAAAATTTTTTAAATCTAAAAATTTTAACTTGCTGTTGATTTTCCCCACAGTCAAAGCTAATAGGAGCATGGTCTGATAACTGGCTACTAAGACCTTGTTGTCTAGAGAAAGGAAAAAAATCTTCCCATTCAGAGTTAAAGAAAACTATGTCAAGTCTAGCCATAGAAGGAGATCTTCTTTTATTTGTCCAGGTAAACTTTCTTCTATGAAGAGGACTATCTATTAATTCCAACTCATTAATCACTTCTTTAAATTCTTCCATATCTTTTCTGTGATTAGTTTTCCCTTTTCTCTCTGCAGAATTAATAGTGACATTAAAATCACCCACCACAACCCAAGGTCCTGAAAAAGAATTCTTAACATCTCTGAGTTCTTGTCAAAAAAGAACTCTCTCCTTATTACAATGAGGACCATATACATAGGAAATTGTCCATATAAAGCCATTTTTCTTATTTTTTAACATAACAGACATAACATATTTACCAGCAAATTCTTGTATTTTCTTCCAAACATTGTTATTCCAACCAACCATAATTCCACCAGAAGCCCCAATAGAAGGTACAAAAGCCCAATCATACATGTTACCTCCCAGACTTTTAATAATATTGTCAGAATAACAACTCAATTTTGTCTCTTGCAAACATATTATTTCAAATTTATTCATTTGACAAAAATCTTTAACTCAAAATCTTTTTGAGCTCAAACCCAATCCTCTTACATTCCATGTAACTAACATAGACAACAAAAACAAACTCCTCAAAATCAAAAACTGGAGCCTACTCAAAAGTAGCTCTCTCCTGTTCCATCTGCCTCACTTTTTTAAGGGGATCAAAACTCCCTTGAGGCTAAAGAATGATAGCACATTTAGAAGCATAATTTTGTAACTGCTTATTAGAACAAGCATCAAATAGAATTGGAACAAAACATTTAGAAGCATAATTTTGTAACTGCTTATTAGAACAAGCATCAAATAGAATTGGAACAAAATTAGAGCCCAAAGAAGAGATAATTTTGTAACTGCTTATTAGAACAAGCATCAAATAGAATTGGAACAAAATTAGAGCCCAAAGAAGAGGAATTTTCACCTGATCCACTAGAAGAGGCACCTGGAGTGTTCTTTATGATATTTTTCATTGCAGCTCTGGAAGTAGCCCTATCCAATGCAGACATGGGTTCCATATCCACAAATCTTGAACATCTCCTAACAAAAGTGACATTAGGAACAGCTTCATATTTTGTGGGTGGCAAGGAGTTCAGAGGTTGAATAATAGGTATATCTTCTTCCTTCTCTGAAATTTTATCATTGTTGAAGTGCTTTGGAAGAATTAACCATTTATCAGACTCACTATTATCACTCTTAGCAATAATTTCTTCATTAATAGGAGTCTCTCCCCCTTTGTGGTCTGGCATATCCTCCCTGGTAAGAACCATATTAGATTCTTTTTCAATTTGAGAATTATTTTCAGCTTCTTCATCATTGCCCTCACCACAGTCCATTATTTGATCAGGAAGAACTAAAATATCATTCATCTTTATCTGTTCTGGCTGTTGTTCAACCCCCAAGTCAATAAGCTGTTCAAAATAATCTTCCACATCAGTTAACACATGTTCTAGTTGTTGCTCCACATCAATATCTTTTGATATATTCTCTTCCCAAGTTCCCCACTCAGATTTTTTATTCTGATAGAAAACTTTTGCATTAGACCATAACCTGACAGCAAGAGAGTTCCATGGATTATTCCTCAAATCTTGCTTAACATTCCATGAAGTGGTCTCAGACCCTTTCAAAGAAGAAGAACCAATTCCACTATCCTTCCTTCTTTTAAACCATTTATCCTGATAAGAGCTTTGGTTGGTATCATCCAATTGGTCCACCTTCTGTTTTTTCTTTTCCCCTTCATGTAATTCACCCATAATAGACATAATAGAAACCTCAATGTTATATTGATTCTTTCCAACAACAATCTTCAGAATTATAGGAATATCTATATATTCTAAGTAACAAACCAGCATCACAGCATCCACAAACTCAGTACAGACATTGGTTAATGAATCCAATTCAACAAGATCAGCAAAAGGCTTAACCATCAAATCAAAAGATTCTTTATTCCACAGATGAGGTGGAACATTTTTCATTTTAATCCACACATATGATTTTCTTTTTTCTACCACATTTCCTTCCTAAGCACTCCATCTTCTGAATTTAAATTTACACGATCTCAAGTTAATCACCCCCATTCTTATCAGATCATCCATTTGTTCTCATGGCTGTATTTTAACCAAAACTTCTCCATTAGTAAACAGTCTCACATCACAATGCTTATTCATAGGAAAATAAGCTCCCAGATCCAATTCTAATCTTTCAAGGAAAATATTACCTCTTTCAACAAAAGAAACTATAGCAAAGTTTCTAAACTTCTGAAAACTAGAATTAACTTCCCCTTCAAATTTTAAGATAGCAGTAGTAAAACAAGGACGATCAGCTGAGATCTTCAACTCAGCTTCCAAATCTCCATAATCTCTCGGTCCTTGATCTTGAAAATGCACAATATTCTCTTGAAGAATGTCCTCATCCACCGGATCCAGTGGTCTTTTGCCCTTATTTTGCTGAATAATCTCTGATGAGGAGTCTTGCTTTCTTATAGAAGAGAAGGCAGAGGAAGTTCTTTCTCTACGCCACTGCCAAGGGTTAGAATGATCAGATCTCCCCCCACGACCAAGGATCTGCCCAGCTCTTCCTCTATTGCCTCTACCCTCAATATTATAGCGTCCTCCAGTTCCTCGACCCCTAAAAGGACCACGCCCACTATCATAGGATCCTCTTCCACCAAAACCACGACCTCTGTTATCAGATCTATCACTGTTGCGGTCAAAAGCTCTGTAGTTTCTTGCTTCATGACCTGTTTCTTAGCAATTGAAACAGACAATTGGGTCTCTGCAATCTTTCGCCATATGCTTCAATCCTCTACAACGGAAACACAATTGATTCTTTCTGATGAATTCTGCAGAGAGAACACGAGGAGAAGCAAGAGATTTTTGGGGAGGCGGCGGTTTAGGTTTTCTTTTAACAACATTCACCCATTCCCCTTTATTAATATCTTCCTTCAACTCCTCTTGAGATCTCTGCGATGGATCGATCCCCACCGTAAACTTTAACCTAGTTCATCAGAATTTGCTCCCAGTTCCACAAACTTAACCCTAGTTTACTCACCCTGGGTTTGAAGAGATTGATTGGGCTCAGAAGAATTCGTATCAAAAGAAATTGAAGACTCTCCCCAAATATTGCGGGCCACGAACTCCTTTGGATTCGGCCCAAATCCACTCCCAAAAAAACCATCACAGAACAAAAACTAGAAAAAGAAAACAGAAAAAAAACCCTAAAATCAACGAGAAATTGAGAACGAAAGATTGAAGATTGAAATTAGCTGAAGAACGCCGACGTGATCGTTGGTCGTCGACGCCGGTTTGAGTTCGCCGTTCCGAGAAAATTATCTCGAAGCTCGTACGTCCTTGAAAGTGTTGGAATCAAAGCTACCAGCTCCCCAAATTACTTCGTAGTTCGTACAAGTGTAATCTTATTGAATAAAATATACATTTAACAAACAAGAATACTGGACATACTGTAATATTAAGCAATGACTAAAACAAAATGCATGGTTTCCGTTGTAATGCCACAAAAGCAGAATATAGTAAAGGAGAAAACTACAGACATAGTTCAAGAACCAAATTGCAGATAAGCATAGTAAAACAACAACAACAAGAAGGACTTTATCCCAAATGTTTGGGGTCATCTACAGGAATCATCATATTCTTCTATGTTGTTCTATTCCCCTAGGATTCATCTGCAAGAATCCTATTTTTCTCTTCTGTTCTATTCCCATAGTATTCTAGTTGTATATTATGTTTAGTTCACTAGTTCCATGGTACTAAAATGCTTCACCATGCTCAGATGAATTTTTACTTGTTACATGGTGGATAATTCTATTCCAATGAATGAATATTACAAGGTTTAGTTTCAACCCTTACCTAACAATTTCTTACATAAGAAATCAATTATAACTTGGTATGTAAATTTACACTCGTCAACACTAAAAAATTACACCCATACAGGTAATTGTATGGGTGTAAGGGCCCACAAAACTAAATAGCTAATACTAATATGCTTGAATCCATATTGGTTCATTTAATCCGCTAGTCAAATCGTGAATTCAAAAATATTTTACTATTTATCCAACTAATTATCTTCCAAATGAAGTATTAAATCCAATTTCATGTCTTTGCAATACCCTTTTTTTCATGTGCATTTGCACAGGCCATTATTCTAGTATTTTCTAAAAGAAGGGTGGTTCCAGCCAGCGATAGGCAGCACCTTACATAACATCTTTCTAAACATAGTTGAAGACCCCATGATGAATAGTCCCAAATTGGATATGTGCTATAAAGACATATAAGGGATCCAATAAAACTCAAAGGAGTAATCTATAGCTAACACTTTTGTGGAAGAAATAATGGTAAAACCTCCATAAGCAGGGCGATTTTGAGAGGAGAAAGACTAGGAATGCTGACTTCATAGGAAGTTCTCAACGGTGTTGCATGTGGGAAAGAGCCAAAACTGGAGAAAATATCTATAAAATAATAAACTAAATTTCTACAATATTTTGCAACTTTGTATCCTCATTTGGTGCAAAATCTTTGTGAAGATTCTTGCGAGAAGAAAGAAACCCATGCACATAACCGTTTTTTCAGATATACGTAAAACTTGAATGTTCCAAATAAAAGTTAAGTTATATAGCTACTATTAGCAAATGGTAGATTCTTTCTTAATCACTTCAAGTTTATAAGATGAAAACCAAGAAACCTTCATAAAGGAATTTACTGAAGTTTCACTATTTGCAGTAATCTTAATGAATTCTTTATTAAATTGGTTTCAAGTCCATGCCCAAAAATATTACAAGACAAAAAGGCCCACACCATAATTCTTATATTCATAAGTAAAACGTACCATGTTATGATAGAAAAATTAAGGAGTATAAATTTCAGAAAGGGTTTTTTCATAGAAACCATCTTTAAAATACGGTCATTCTATAGAATCCACCTTTGATCTTCAAATTATACATAAACCACCTTTAAAGTACTTTTTGTTGCTATCAAACACGTGGACTCACTTTTAAGTCAAGTTTTTTCGGTTTTTATGTTATAATTAGTTGCCAAATACCAAGTATATTAGAGAGATGATCTTTAATGGAGGTTAGGTGAGATCAATTACGTAAAAAAATTTTAATAAAAAGTGGGCCTAGGTGGTTGATTGCAACAAAAAATGCTTTAAAGGTGGCTATTTATAAATTAAAAATCGAATGTGGTTTCTATAGAATTGTTGGAAATTGGGTGTAGACCCAAACCTCGTCGGCTCCGGCGAGCACGAGGTCAGCGGCGACGACTTCAGGCGAAGTCGAGGTGGAGCAGACAAGCTTTCCATGAACTCCAGGCGAGATCGCGAGCTCGTGATCTTGCAGGCGAAATCGACCGCTACAGGCGAGGGAAATGAACTGCTGGCGAGTTTGGAGTTGGGGCGCAGGCGAACTCGAGCGGTGTCTTCGACAGGCGAAATCATCGAGCGAGGGCGAGTTTTGTTGGCGGCTCTCCCAGGCGAAATGAGGCAAGCTCGAAAATCCCCTTTCTCGCCTGAGTCGGTTGGATCTAGCCTGGATCCAGCAGTTATCTAGGGTTTTCCTATTTAAGGAAATCCATGAGCACGAGAAGCAGGTGCAGCCGTTTCTTTTTTTTTCCTTCTTCAAAGCGCTAAACTCCTGGTGGCGGCCATTTTATTGAGCTCGAGATTTTCAGAAGAAAATCTCGTTCATTTAATCTGAGTTCTTGTAGCAGCTGTTTATTGAAGAGAGAGGAGATTTTACTGTTATAAAATCTCGCGCCTTTTAGAACAACAGATAGTTTCTATTGGCTCTTCTTTTGAGAAATCTCAAGTTGAGATCCGCTCTTTTACAAGCTCTGTAATCTTCTTTAAATATAAAAGAAATTATTTGTGTGGCTCCCGAGGACGTAGGCAAGTTGCCGAACCTCGTTAAAGTTTGGTGTTCTTTGTTCTTGTTTTTTTTGTTTTGTTGTGATTTCTTTTTTCCATTGCTTAACACAAGATCCGGTAGGGCAAATTCCGCAGAACGGGTATCAGAGCGTATCTGATATTTTCCCAACAAGAATGACCATATTTTAAATGTGGTTTCTATGAAAAAACCCTTTCAAAAACAAATGGTCATTTTCCATACGAATTTTGCAGATTTTATAAGACAAGAAACTGATAGGGTAAAAAAGGTATTTTAATAACCAATGGTCATTGATTGATATAACTACAGACAAAGGCCACATAATAAGAGAAATTTGCATAGCTATCAGGATGATTAAATATACCAGGTCAATGCAAAAGTACTCCAATACGACCAGCTCCAAAAGAAAGCTATACCCCCCTTTTCATGGCCAACTAGTGTCTGCATGGAAATGGAGGTACAGCTAATGGTTAGTTTTAAGAATGAAACATGAGCACAATTTATCAAAAAAATAAATCAAACAAAAGCACGGAATGCAAATTCATATAGCTATTGCAGTGAGAAACAAAAAGGGTTAGGGAATTCCATACAAATATATGATGGCGGAAAAGCGCACAACCGTAAAGTTACCTATCCTTCTCATTTTCAGTGCAGTGAAGAAATCTCAACATTATAGAACAAATAACTTAATCAGGTTTGTCTTCTTCTTTTTTGTTTTTCTGTTTTTTGTTTTTTGTTTTTTGTTTTGGGGGGGGTGGGGAGGTGGGGGCAGGGGAGTCGTCCATGTTTTATAGCAAGCAAACTCTATTCAGTGAGCACAACCAATCAGACTGAAAAGAGTGCTATGATGAAGAAAATATTTCTTTTTCTCTCAGCCTTGGTGATGATAATTGAATGAAACACTATTCTTTGCTGTGTTAGGCGTTAAATTGTCTGATATATCTTGTTTGTCCACCACTCACAAGATACAGCCTTTGGCTAAAGCGATTATTTTCAGTGCATTGGATTTGTAGGAATTTAAACTTCAAATCTCGCCAATTAGAATTCAATATATGTTTATTACCCTTGTCTATTCTTCCTTTCAACCGCTTAAAGCGGCCTGAAAACATGCACAAGTAGCATTAAGTTCGCTTGAGTATAACAGTAGCTCAGAACACATCAATTTTACTTTAGGTAAAATGCTTCCCGCCATTTCTCAATCGAGCTTGGCATGCCATATAAAAGCAAAGTCAAAACATGCTCTATATGGTATATACTCTATGGCATAACACTCTGTCATTAGTCTTTGCACAAAGCTTTCCACTGTCAGAAACGAGATTTATATGCTTGCTGTTCCACGAGTTGAAGAAGCAGCTGAGATGCTTCTTCAAGAAATCCAGACACTTCCTAAAGAAATGCCATCAGTTCTCCCGTTGATTCAGTTAATTAAGATCTCTTATTCTGATGCATAAATCTCGAGGAATTGTACTTGCAGATGACGCATGCTTACATTTAACATTTCCTTTAACAATAATATATCAAGGGTTTTAGCAAAACAAAATCAATATGTCAAAGATTTACCGCAAGTGACGCCCTCAAGATCTTATGTTCAATAATCAACAAGGAAATATGCATTGCTTGTCAAAAGGTTTTCAATTTCTAATTGCATAGAGCAATAGTTACATTCCACAATTTCTCCCTCTTGAAGTTGAAAATTGCGCAGTCTTCTTTCTGTCCCATTTAAAACTCTAGGATTGTCCGCAATGAATATGCAAGGTTAACCATATTGAACGCAGAAAATCCACAGGCATTCTAATTTCTACAGGTTTTTTGCCCAATTTTTGCTTATTTATAAAAGCACAAGCAAAATTTTACACTGAAACTGAAAGGTGAAAGCAACCTATCACCAAAAAAAGTCTTCTATAATCTCAAAATAAAATCATGAAACTAGCAAAAGTTATCAAATACCTAAACAAAACATCTTAACCTTCAAATGCGTAGATTTACTTCACAAAATGGCACAAAATGGCACACAGGCAAACCTTCAATAAACAATCCGCATGCTAGCCCGACTCAAACGGTAGTCGGTAAAAGCGCATCAAACCCGTTGATGGCTGGGGATTTGCCAAAAATCCTATAAATACGAGAGTCACTGACACATCCGCTTCTTTAGTTGGTCTCGTGACCTGAGCAACATACGACGTTCAAAACCCTAAGGTCATACGGCCAGACAACGCGTAAACCTTTAGCGTCAACAGCATCATACGCGTTAGCCTGCGATCAAAAGTCAACGTACGACGGTCAAAACCCCAGGGTCAACGCCGGAAACGTATAACCCTAGGTCAACGCCAGTCAATGCGTTGCGCATCAAAAATCAACGTACGACGTTCAAAACCCTAGGTCAACGCGGACAACGCGTAACCTAGGTCAACGCCTATCAATGCGTTGCAATGAAAGAATCACCACTCCGAAAAGTACACGAGTATAAACTGCTTCTTAACACTCCGAAAAGTACACGAGTATGAAACTGCTTCTTAACACTCCGAAAAGTATACGGAGTATAAACTGTTTCTTAATACATCCAATAAGGTATATGATATAAACTATTCCCTATTTTTGGTTTGAGAAGTTCCTGGAGAATATTGTTATAAATATTCTTAAGGATAACTCAACTACACTACGCCGCGACAACCGCGTCACAAATAAGGCTCAACGCCAGCAATCGATGGTCAGTTCTACGAGCTAAAGATCGAAAATCAGGAATTGACTTCAAGTTCAAATTTCCGACAACGGTCAGACAATAAATGCAGCACCGGAACTCTTAGCAGTCATTCGACAAAGCACGGAATAACCTGGAAGATTGAAGGAATCAAGAACGGAAGTCATTCCAAGTCCCATTACACGAGACTGAAGGTTGGGACATGCATATCCAAAGTATTCCAGACTTCTTCTATAAAAAAGAACGAGACTGAAATACTTTGGAGGGGGTATCTGTAGGCATATAAAATTGCTTATAGGTCCCTTTTGCTCAGCTCGGCACAAACCGACGAACCAACGAGGCGACGAGATCGAACGAATCGCATCAAGCGACGGAATGCATCCATACGCTTCGGAATCAAGCCAAGTGTCAAAGAATCAACGAGTCATCCAACAAGGCATACTCGGACAAATGACGATCGAATCAAGATCGTTCGCGACTCCAACTCAGAAGCGGATTTACTGCCTAATCGGGATCCGGATTACTGCCAAAATCAGATCAACCAAATCAAAGACTAAGTTAATCAAATCACGGACAGAACCAAAGGCCAGAAAACACCAAAAACCACCACCTAGAGGGGCTCGGCCGAAGCCGAGCCAACTTCAGGTGGCTCGGCCAAGCCGAGCCACCTCAAGGTGGCTCGGCCCAAGCCGCAGCCACCTTGGGGTGGCTCGCTGGCCGAGCCACCTCAAGGTGCCTCGGCCATTGCCAAGCCACCTTGAGGTGGCTCGCGCAGCCGAGCCACCTCAGGGTGGCTCGGGCCCAAAGCCGAGCACCCTGAGGTGGCCGGCCCAGATCTGTGCCTAGGCACAGATCTGAGTGCCTATAAATAGGCTAGGCCTTGGTTCATTTTGAGAGGTTGAAATCTGAGAGGCGAAGCCCTGCTGGATTGGAGACTCAGAACTTAACAAGATTCAAACTTTAGGACTTCAAGGACTTGCTCATCCAGATCTGGTGCTCGGCGACCGTCAACGCCAAATAAGGCAGGAGTTCGAGAGGACCGGATCTCAGATCTACGCGTACGAACTCCGGATCTAAGCTTGGTCTTAGATCCCGAGACTTGAGCGATTGTTTCCTTGGTGAATCAATCCCTCCCGGCTATTATTTCCTTCGTGGAATAATACCCGTCGTACTGCGTAGATCCGACCGGATCTAGATCGCGCGGTGGTCCACGGCAAACAACCCCGGCGCAGGCAAAGAACCCACAAAGCGAGCGACCGCAAAACAAGAGCTCGTGATTCGTTCGACAAACAAGGAAACAAAGTTGTAATTTTTCATTTCTATTTATTTGATTTTCGTTGTAACCGGATCTTATAAAAAGACCGGATCTTTGTAATCGATAAACTGTTACAAGAGTGTACAATGGAATCAATGATGAAAGCTACAATTTTTCCCGCGAACAACACGTGTAAGGTACGGATTATGGTGTTATAAATAACAACCTGCCACAATATCGAATATATGGTCTTTGGTTCTTTTTACGGTTAAGGACTAACCAACAACGCGTGTTAGGCACTGACTTATCTCTTCTTAGGCTTCAGGATAAAATTCCCCATACTGGAATTCTGATGTCTTCTTCAATCGGTGAAAGACTAAACTGACAACGCGTGTTAGGCGTCGACTTATTAATTTCTTATACTATTCACCTTGAGGCTAGAACCCTCTTGGGTTTAGTTTTTCTTTTTATTTATTTTTATTTTGTTTGATTCGCCTTTAGGCTAGAACCCTCTAGGGAATCACCCTTTTCTAAGAAGTGGGTTCAATTGTAGATTACCTATATCTATAATTGAATCCACCATCTTTAATTTCTTGCATTTTCTTTTATTCTAGAATTTTGTTCTTCATTCTTGATTTTTTTTATTTTCTTGATTTTATTCATTTTTCCTTCTCACCTTATTGATCATACTCATTCTTTTGTCAATTCCACTCTCACTTACACTTTGCACCTATTCACACACCATCTTCACTCTCTCAATCTCTTCACAATCATATTCACTCATCAATCTTATTTGTCACGTACACAACATAAGAACCGATTTTATATTTTCTCCTACAAAACATCTTCCTCGTGGGATCGATATCTTTATACTATAACTTGACACGGTTGTGCACTTGCAACTTTTTTGGTACATGTTTATGTCGCATCACACACTCTTAATATGGTATAGATACTAAGATATAAGAATATAAAGATATATAATGTAGTTATAAGTATACTTATATATGTATATTATAAAATTACAATTATATAAGTATATATAAGTGCATAAGTA